TCACCTTCGTCTCTATCTTCCTCACTTCTCATGAATTCCGACTCGTTTCTACAAATTTTGGAAAAAAAACAAGAGTTTCTCATAATATAATTGGAAAGACAAGGACAATCAATGTTTGGATTGATGCTCATAATAGCTGTCCATCCACCTCCACTTTTGACAAGGAGACGGAATTCTGAAAAATTAGGGAATACTAGTTGCCTATAAAAACTTTGCTAATATTCAAAAAAAACGAAAAAATGAAGAAAATTAACTATAAGGAATTCGCTGCGATATTGCCCCATAAAAAAGGCGATGAGGAAACGGATTTTTAACTTCTGGAGTCCCACCTAGGGCATTCGCCTCCCCCCACAAACTCGATATATATGTTCATACTTTAGCATAAGAGACTAGGCTGCAAGTTTGCTTCCGATTCGGCTAGAACCGTTAAAATGCCCTCAAGTGGTGAGCCTATCGTTTCAACAGGCGTATTCTTGCTCGTGATTGAAGCGCCGGCAATGAATAAGTAAAAAGTGCAACTCCTTCTCCCTCGTCACAACTTCAAAGCGACTGGAAACACTGGGATCAGCAGACACCGTCTCGCCGTGAGAAAAAAGCAACAGAGTAGCTAAACAAACGCACTTTGTATCAGCATTCAATTATTCAAACCTGTGCATTGTAAAACTATGAGCCCAACAAACCACAATAATTGCTATCTAAGCTCGCATGCCACTGTATACTTCAAAAAAAGCATATAATTAAAAATTCCCAAGTATTACTTTGCTCTCTAGGCCCATGAATAGAACGCACAACCAAAGTTCACTAACCACGGCATCACCAAGGTCCAAACCTTCATATGTGCCGCTTAAAACGTCCACAGGTTATTTGACTTGGAAAAAATTAACAATATAAGTTTTGCGCAAATTACTTTTATTGCTAATACCCTAACTTTAATGCGTTCTTATTTATATTTGTAGGCCTAATACAAGCAAAAAGCATGCCAGTAAAAATTAATTTAACCAAATACTTTCATTTTTCGTAAGAGCCTATTAAAACCTTATTCAAATACTTCAAGCATTTCTTGCGACATTTTTTGCATACTGCATGCTCCTAAATTTTTACTAAGTTGGCATTTGGGTATATCCCTGGGATTGTTCTCATTATTTGTAAGCAATTGTGCTGTGCACTTCGGTCTTTGTAAAAGTGAACGTTTTCAATCTTCCTTTAAGTCATAATAACCCAAAGCAGTACTGGATGTCACACATCACTAATATGCATAAGTTCTGGAAAGCTGCTAGCATGGGCTGATGTCCATCTTATCATTTGAAGAATTAAAGTAGCATACTGCTTGAATTCCATGCAACAATAAAATCACAGAGCACTAAGAATTAATCAGCTCGACCTTTGTTAAATGCAATCAACATTTCGTTCATTTCGTAATTGCGATTAGTTCCCACGTATTGACTCTAGCGTAAATTTTATGCAGCAATCGCAGAGACTTCGTTGTCATTTGACTTCATTACCATGGCCCACCAGGCTACATTCAATCCTGCCTGCAGACTTCTAACCTTCCCTCAATTCAATGCTGCGACCACCTGTGTGGTGGTATTGCAATCAATTCAGTGTCCTTTTTCTTCCATTATTCCTTTGGTAAGCGTAAACAGATTGATTGAAGCCTTTTTTATTAATGGCATTATAAATGGGGCACAGTGACCAAGATTGTCTTTTTAAAGAGCACACTCTTCTGGAGGGCAAATAACGTCAAATTTTTGACGAAATTCGAATTTGCTGATCACCCCTTGCCTAAACAATACATTTGCGCAAGCAGGTCTTGCATGGTCCCTTCGCCTTCAGTGCTACCCCCCAATGCCACTCTCATGGACGGTCTCCACATGCCATTTCACAATAACATCTTATCCTTTCAGCATTCACAGTGGTCACGCTGTCGAGAGTGATAGAATTCGACCCTGATCCATTCGACTCACCTTCGTCTCTATCTTCCTCACTTCTCATGAATTCCGACTCGTTTCTACAAATTTTGGAAAAAAAACAAGAGTTTCTCATAATATAATTGGAAAGACAAGGACAATCAATGTTTGGATTGATGCTCATAATAGCTGTCCATCCACCTCCACTTTTGACAAGGAGACGGAATTCTGAAAAATTAGGGAATACTAGTTGCCTATAAAAACTTTGCTAATATTCAAAAAAAACGAAAAAATGAAGAAAATTAACTATAAGGAATTCGCTGCGATATTGCCCCATAAAAAAGGCGATGAGGAAACGGATTTTTAACTTCTGGAGTCCCACCTAGGGCATTCGCCTCCCCCCACAAACTCGATATATATGTTCATACTTTAGCATAAGAGACTAGGCTGCAAGTTTGCTTCCGATTCGGCTAGAACCGTTAAAATGCCCTCAAGTGGTGAGCCTATCGTTTCAACAGGCGTATTCTTGCTCGTGATTGAAGCGCCGGCAATGAATAAGTAAAAAGTGCAACTCCTTCTCCCTCGTCACAACTTCAAAGCGACTGGAAACACTGGGATCAGCAGACACCGTCTCGCCGTGAGAAAAAAGCAACAGAGTAGCTAAACAAACGCACTTTGTATCAGCATTCAATTATTCAAACCTGTGCATTGTAAAACTATGAGCCCAACAAACCACAATAATTGCTATCTAAGCTCGCATGCCACTGTATACTTCAAAAAAAGCATATAATTAAAAATTCCCAAGTATTACTTTGCTCTCTAGGCCCATGAATAGAACGCACAACCAAAGTTCACTAACCACGGCATCACCAAGGTCCAAACCTTCATATGTGCCGCTTAAAACGTCCACAGGTTATTTGACTTGGAAAAAATTAACAATATAAGTTTTGCGCAAATTACTTTTATTGCTAATACCCTAACTTTAATGCGTTCTTATTTATATTTGTAGGCCTAATACAAGCAAAAAGCATGCCAGTAAAAATTAATTTAACCAAATACTTTCATTTTTCGTAAGAGCCTATTAAAACCTTATTCAAATACTTCAAGCATTTCTTGCGACATTTTTTGCATACTGCATGCTCCTAAATTTTTACTAAGTTGGCATTTGGGTATATCCCTGGGATTGTTCTCATTATTTGTAAGCAATTGTGCTGTGCACTTCGGTCTTTGTAAAAGTGAACGTTTTCAATCTTCCTTTAAGTCATAATAACCCAAAGCAGTACTGGATGTCACACATCACTAATATGCATAAGTTCTGGAAAGCTGCTAGCATGGGCTGATGTCCATCTTATCATTTGAAGAATTAAAGTAGCATACTGCTTGAATTCCATGCAACAATAAAATCACAGAGCACTAAGAATTAATCAGCTCGACCTTTGTTAAATGCAATCAACATTTCGTTCATTTCGTAATTGCGATTAGTTCCCACGTATTGACTCTAGCGTAAATTTTATGCAGCAATCGCAGAGACTTCGTTGTCATTTGACTTCATTACCATGGCCCACCAGGCTACATTCAATCCTGCCTGCAGACTTCTAACCTTCCCTCAATTCAATGCTGCGACCACCTGTGTGGTGGTATTGCAATCAATTCAGTGTCCTTTTTCTTCCATTATTCCTTTGGTAAGCGTAAACAGATTGATTGAAGCCTTTTTTATTAATGGCATTATAAATGGGGCACAGTGACCAAGATTGTCTTTTTAAAGAGCACACTCTTCTGGAGGGCAAATAACGTCAAATTTTTGACGAAATTCGAATTTGCTGATCACCCCTTGCCTAAACAATACATTTGCGCAAGCAGGTCTTGCATGGTCCCTTCGCCTTCAGTGCTACCCCCCAATGCCACTCTCATGGACGGTCTCCACATGCCATTTCACAATAACATCTTATCCTACAGGTGGTGTACCTTTGCATGGCCACCTTTCACTGCGATACACGACGACTGACTAGGAATGGAGTCGAAGCATTTTGTAATTAATGAGATGACTTTTATCACTCAGAGTGTGTATTGTCCCATGGATG